CATATTCCGTGTGCAATTTGTTTGCAAGATCACGAATAACGCCGACTTCCTCTTGGAGATATTTCCACAAAACATTAAATAACGAATCGAGTTTTGTCACTGCATTATACTTTGTCGTCAAATTTCCTGGAAGGCAGTCAATGGAGACATAAAAACCTTCATGTTTGAATTTGTTCTCGGGATTTTGGTAGTCTGTTACATCTTCTGTCTCGTCTACAAAAAGCTTCCGTTTCTTTGGTCGTTTTGCTATTTCGACAAACGAATGCTCAATCTCAGCTCAATCTCATAGTTATCTGCTACTAATTTGGACTCACTCAAGATTGCGTCACATTCATCTCATGCAAGTGTTTGTGTGATTGGTGAGTGCTCTGGTGTGGTTTACTCCTTCTTTCCAGTCAAACACCCATCGTCCTTATCTCCCCTCCTTCATTTTTTTGTATGTTACTTGCTTGTAACACCTCTAATCTTCTTCACGTGTATGACCCAATTGTTTTGCAAGTGCCGTAAAATGTTTTCTTAAACAACAAATCAGAGTTAAGTGCTACGCTTTAGAGATAACTCTTGTTATGTCTAGAAATGTGTACAATTCTCACTATAGATCTCTTTTTTTTTTTACAAGCAAGATTTTTTTATCTTGATTATAAATACAGAAACTTTCACTCTGTTAAACGATGTATCATACTTTTTTAAAGATTAGATACACACGTAAATTATCTTTGCTTTAAATTGTACAAACAAACGTACACCTTTCACACAAAGTCCTTCGTAGTACTGCACTCTGTTTTCTGCATGGAATTCAAGAAAACATCTTACCCTCCAGTTGTAGAATGTATTGCCTCCCACAGAGGCAACTGAAAATATTATGTTTTCCTTGTGAATCAGAGGGCACCTGTGTACGCACTTGTACAATGTTACGTCCAGAAAGACACGACTCTCTACATTAATCAGTTATCCTGTTGCCGGCCCGGAGGGACATCAAGCACACTGAGTTGACCATGCCTGCCACATTGGAGACCGTCACTTCGCCCGTCCGCTGGGTGAGACGAGTGGACCAATAACTGGCTGACTGGTCTTCCTTTCACGCTTTACTGATTGTGTGTGTGTGG